GGGGGGGGGGGGGTTAGCTCATTCTTATTCAAGCAGTGGGAAATACTGTCATGTAAAATGAGGGTAACATATTTTAGTTCAATAAGCGTGAAACACTAAAATGTTCTGGCAGTAAAAGTTACATCAAATATACAATTGCCAGCAAAGGCTAGAAAATTACTTTCCCTTACGAGAGGCAAAAGAAGTTGTGTTGGGGGGGGGGGTGACAAGAAGATTATGATTAATCTGTGCATTGTGCTCCAAACTTTTTTATAGGAAAGCATCAGTCACCTGCATGGCAGTATGTATACTTATACCACCTGATTCTTGTAACAACGAAGACTGTGGTAACAAAGTGCCGTGTGAATTCCCACCAAGTACAGGTAAAGATCAGTTGCCTCACGTGGAAAAACAGCATTTACCTCTTCATCTCCTCTTACATCTGAACAGTACAAAAAGCTATAGCTTTTCCTTTTTAGATTTCCAATAAGTTTTTTTTTGTCTCCGACTGGTCAACTGGTAAGAAAACCAAAAAAGTCAGAAAAATGTAAAAACCTGTGTCTCGCAAAGAAAACTTGTGACATCACAGAAGAAGCAATAGCAAAAATTCCCTCAGATTTCAATTAACAAGTGATACCCTTTTACGTAACAATGCATAAATAAAACAAGATCCTCAACTCTGTGTTATTCCTTTCTTTAAAAGCAGACATTTAGGTCTAGGGTCACATTAAATTCTCGACAAAACATACAATAAGGACAAATAATTAGTTTTCACCTCAATATTTAATAAAACAAATGCAGAAAACTTTGGTCAAGGCATCAAAATAATTTTAAATTGCATTAATACTTCAGTGGAAGAAGCTGTGTCAAGATAAAAGCTAGATCATGTGAAATATCATGGAATGTGCGAGAAATCTTCAACGTAGAAACGCCAAGATTCTATAAATAATCTGTAGACAGTTGTTTCACCAGTAACATGACTTGTTCTAATATTGCTGGCACTTCATAAACTAACTACTAAAAATGACAAATATGTATATCCAAATTTTGGGAAATGATTATCAAATTTAGTGTATTAGCTAGAAACTTTGGACCAGGCAAAACGATCATTAACATAATTGTGCAGTTTTAATTTTTTTTATCTGTACTTTTAGCTAAATGTTTCAATGATTTGCTTGCATGGAGAAATATCTTTTCTGTTTTGAGTAGTTCTAGAAAACAAGCATTTTTCAGTCAGAAGCATTTACAGTAGTACATTATTTGATTTCATTTTGAAATTAAATATAAATTATTACTCACATGAACAGAAAAAGTCTACTAACAATTACTCTTAAAAGACACAATTCAAGAATTAATTACTTTGGAGTGAAGGATTTATTGAACTAACACTACAGAGTTATCCCACTACTGCCTACAGCACTCATCCCAAAATCAACAGAAAGACCTGATGACAAAGTGGGTACATTATTAAAGTGACACTGACGTCTTTAGCACCCATCCAAAATAACAGAAAAAGTGACGACAGAGTAAATGTGACATTTTCACACAGTACCAGGAAGGTTAATTACCTCACGATTTAAATGTTTACAGGTTTTCACACAGTACCAGGAAGGTTAATTACCTCACAATTTAAATGTTTACAGGTTTTCACACAGTACCAGGAAGGTTAATTACCTCTCAATTTAAATGTTTACAGTTATTATTTTGTACGAAGGTTTCTGGTTGCAGCATTACAAAGTGTCACATAATCAGTATCATATTCCTTTTGATAAAAATGAATACTTTCCAGAAGAGTGAGGAGAAAGAGTGGTTGCTGGATATAAAGTTTTGAGGATTTCCATTAAATTTAAACACACTAACTCAATTAAACTTTTGTGATATCCTTGGAAACTTTCCTGTGTTTTAATAATTAGAAAATAATAGCTTTTTTCCTTACAAACAAACTGACACCTACTATTAAAAGGTCACACTACCATATTTTGATTCACTTGGAACTAACACAATATTTCTAAAACTGCCACCATACTATTACTTGATTTTCAAAGAAGATAATGACTGTTATTTTATTATCCTACCAAGCTTTTAATTTTGATCAAAAAATACAACTTGCTGCATTATGGTTGCCTAAAATGCTGAAATCACATAACTATTCAAACTTTAAGTGTATGTTATTGGAATGTTCATGTAACACCAATATTCTGATCCTTCTCTAAATGAACCCACACACACACAAAAAATAAAATAAAAAAATGCTTGAACAAATATGAAAATTTTAAGTTTCTTCCTGAAAATGCATTTTTTTCATGATGCTCAAAATTCAAAACTATCTCTCGTCGCACAGGTGGGAGAAGTAAAGAAATAATATTGTCTGTCATCTTAGAAATTTTATCTTTTATAAAAAGTAATGTAAGCCATACCCAGCACAATTTTTTAAGATATATGTATCAAAGTTGGAGACAAAACCAGTATACTTAATATCAACACAATACTGTCTGTTACCCATACGTAAACGAAACTTGGGACTTGCATTAAAAATATACCGGTTTCACTAAATTTTTGAAGTTATTCTCTCTTTATTGTTGATATTAAAGGTGAGAACATCTAACAAAACAGCAATCCGAACACAAGTAAGAAGAATCTTGCAAATATCTGAAAACTTGTGGTAATATTAGAATGGCTTTGAAGTAAAACTAGAACGTACAAAACACAGAGATCCAATTATTATTAAAGTCAAAAGATACATACATACATACATATATATATATATATATATTTGTTTGTTTTTTTAGAGAGTTATTAACAAGTACTATACATTAAACCTTTCAGCTGGTGGTTGATAGTGAAGATAAAGTTGAAAAACAAGTGTTAATAAATAAAAGTGATAATGGAATTTAAATCTTAAGAGTTAAAGTTTGTAGGACGTTAACGGGTAACAGCACCAAGAGTTAACATAAAGTTTGTAAAATACTATCATTTGCTTTCCTCCAATAAAGATGCCACAAAAAAAAAAAAAACAGTTTAGAATCAAATTTGTTCCAGGTATCTGAAACTAAAGAGAATAAAGCTAATAGTTAGAAGAGAATCTATTTATACAAGTAATACATTTACAGCTGTGAGGTGTATCTATACAGTTAGTATGCCATCATGACTATGGACATAAGGAGGGCTGGAATCTTCGGCTGGTGACATCGGTTTACACACCTACAGCGGACCAGCACTGTATTCTAGGAGTAGGTAACAAAATTATTAATAACAAGGTGTGATCTGCACCCAAACCCATTCTGGGCTGGCCAACACAAACTAACAAAGAAACAACCAAACAACACATGCGACTAAAAAACGATCAGACTCAGGAAAAGAAAAAATTGAGGGCTCGGTTTACGTCATAATCAGCTGCTAGGGAAATGCGAACTAATTGTTCTTGAGGTACAGACTCGCCCACAATGTCACGTAACTGGGCAACACAGGCCTCTAACTGGGCAGAGTCGTGGGTCAACGGAAGTTCTTCGACGGAACTCGAATCAGAAGTCGCTTCCGGCTACATGAAGAAAAAAATATATAAACCATTTTTATGTGCAACTTATGCCAAAACACCCTTTCTTTTTTAAGTTATAACCTAAGAACACGGAGATGGCTACGAATATGAAAATTATTTGACAGTAAATAAATTTAGATTAACACATTCGCTGCCACCAGTAGTATTAATAATTCCTACCCTAATGCTAACCACACTTTCCTTTTTTTTCCTTAACCCATGTGTCTACTATTTATATGGGTAACTATACTATGTTTAGTTAGCTCACTGAAGCCACTTTTAATATGTGACCTATCAGTGTGTCACGAGGTCAATAACTAAAAGTTTTTTGTGACCCACTGGTGGGGGATATGGCAGCAAACATGTTAAGATAAACACATACTATATTATTAACCGACCCATCAGTGGGGCACATGACAACGAATGTGTTAAGATAAACATATACTATATTATTAACCAAATTACTTTCAAGCAAGTCAAATATATAAATAATTTCAACAAACTTCGTTTTTGTTCATTTAAGCTCATTCAACTATCTATTTACAAGTTTTTTTCCTCAGTTCAAATGATATTTCCTTTCTTATGCAATACCAGCTAAATATAGGTATGTAAGTAGGACGATACGATAGAACCTTAACTTGTTTTTTTAGAAACCCACATTTCTAACCTCTTTTCCAGAAATATTGATGGCTGAAGTAAGTTCCTCGATATCAAGGAGACTGGAGGACATAGAGCTGGGGCTATCTGCGCCTAGGTACTGAGGACACGATAACTCGTCACTTCGCTGGGAATTCCTGAAATTCAAGTTGTTACAGTATTACTGATATAACAAGTCATTTATACTAAATAATGATAATAATTTTGAACACAAGGAAAACAACAAACCATTAAGAGTGTTTTAACACTTTTTTACCTAGAATAGTTATTGAGATATACATGCATTAAACAGGTAAATATTAGCCAAGTTGAAAATCATAATAAAACCAAAACAGTTGGAAAATGCAAAGATGTCTTTGTTATGTAGTTCATTTAGTTAAGAAATTAACCCTAAAATTACTGACAGGTATGGATCCCATCATTTTTTTAAAACTATTTATGTTCCAAACTGCTTGTGAGTCCATGAATTTGTTGGTTAAGTGTCTACAATAACATGTCATATAAATTATATCACAAGTATTGTAATAAATCTCACTAGTTACCACTGGAGCCTTTATGTATTTTATACACATACTGTTCCATACTGTGTATATATATATATATATATATTCTATGTCTAGTAGTAA